CACACAGTCCTAAATTTTTTTCAGGCCTTATTTTCAATACTGCTTCCCTAGAACTTTCATAGAACTTTCAGAACTTCTTTAGTTATTCTTTATTCTCTAAATTTTTTCAGGCCTTATTTTCACTACTGCTGCTTCCCTAGAACTTTCATAGAACGTTCAGAACTTCGAAGATCACTTTCATATTCAAGACACATACATGGTTTTTATCGTTATAAGAAAAGAGTTTCAACATGCTGAAGCCAAGCCCTTTATCAAAACATCAATTTTATTTTATCAGTTTTCTTTGGAGTATCTTACAAGGTGTCATTTTTCCGTTATGTTCATTGCCGGATTCATCACTTCACAGCCTTTTTTACAAACCAACATTATGAGTTGATACTGAGTTGGCTTGTTAGCTCAGTTGGTAGAGCACTGCACCAGTATTGCAGAGGACCTGTACAGTTCTAAATTTTTTTCAGGCCTTATTTTCACTACAGCTTATGAAGTGTTTAGAAGTTTGAAGATCGCTTTTATATTCAAGACATACATAGGTGACTTGCAACCAATCTCTAGAGACAGGTAACAATGGTGAAAGGACAAATACTGGTGGACGAACTAAAGGAGCTAATGAGGTGTCTTTTGGTTACGTCCACCAACATGGCGGCAATTGACATAAGGTGCAAACCACCTGGGTGTTACGAAAATGAAGACCCTCGAAAACAAAGACCTAAGACCTAAGACCCCCAGTCTTCGTTTTCGTACTATGAAAACTAAGACCCCCCGGTCTTCATTTTCGTAGTATGAAAACGAAGACCTTGTAAACAGAAAACCGTAGAAATTACAAGTTAAACAGACATTAAACAGCAACAACGCTTACTAATATAATACATTACACTTCACGCATTTCTTCCCATTATTATCTGTATTATCATACGGCCTGTCTTGTCTGTTCTGTTTCCCTATGCGAGCCAATTTGGTGTTGATATTCTCGAGGGTTTCCTCAGGTAAACTTACAACACATATTATTATTCTGGAACAGCAGAAAGAATTCGAACACTAGCCACCTTTGATTTATAGTTAGCATTGCGTGACAGAATAACAGAGAAGGCATTCTGTACAGGAAAAATTACTCTTAGGTTCTGTCAATAAATAATCAACTCCTACTGTATTTCGTAGCTAAAACAGATTCTTACAGTCATTCACCTTTCTCTGCTGGAAAATTCTCGTTAAAAAGTAAGCAATTATTATGGCTAATGCAGGGTCTTCGTTTTCCTATATTGTTATACGGCCCATCTTGTTTGTTCTTTCTCGCTATGCGAGCCAATTTTGTGTTGATATTCTCGAGGGTTTCCTCGGGTAAACTTACCACACGTACTATTATTCTGGAACAACAGGCAGAATTCGAATGCCAGCCGCCTTTGATTTATAGTTAGCATTGCGTGACAGAATAACAGAAAACGCGCGCTGGTGGCATGTTGAGAGCCCTGGCAAAGATGGGATACGTGGGCAGGGAGGCTGAAACTCACTGAGCTTGTAGTCCAGCGGGATGGGTATTACGGCGCACAAAGCGCGCGTCTCAAACAATAGGCACGGCCGCGTGGCATGCCCGCAAAATCCGAGAAAACGCGCGCTGGTGGCATGTTGAGAGCCCTGGCAAAGATGGGATACGTGGGCAGGGAGGCTGAAACTCACTGAGCTTGTAGTCCAGCGGGATGGGTATTACGGCGCACAAAGCGCGCGTCTCAAACAATAGGCACGGCCGCGTGGCATGCCCGCAAAATCCGAGAAAACGCGCGCTGGTGGCATGTTGAGAGCCCTGGCAAAGATGGGATACGTGGGCAGGGAGGCTGAAACTCACTGAGCTTGTAGTCCAGCGGGATGGGTATTACGGCGCACAAAGCGCGCGTCTCAAACAATAGGCACGGCCGCGTGGCATGCCCGCAAAATCCGAGAAAACGCGCGCTGGTGGCATGTTGAGAGCCCTGGCAAAGATGGGATACGTGGGCAGGGAGGCTGAAACTCACTGAGCTTGTAGTCCAGCGGGATGGGTATTACGGCGCACAAAGCGCGCGTCTCAAACAATAGGCACGGCCGCGTGGCATGCCCGCAAAATCCGAGAAAACGCGCGCTGGTGGCATGTTGAGAGCCCTGGCAAAGATGGGATACGTGGGCAGGGAGGCTGAAACTCCCTGAGCTTGTAGTCCAGCGGGATGGGTATTACGGCGCACAAAGCGCGCGTCTCAAACAATAGGCACGGCCGCGTGGCATGCCCGCAAAATCCGAGAAAACGCGCGCTGGTGGCATGTTGAGAGCCCTGGCAAAGATGGGATACGTGGGCAGGGAGGCTGAAACTCACTGAGCTTGTAGTCCAGCGGGATGGGTATTACGGCGCACAAAGCGCGCGTCTCAAACAATAGGCACGGCCGCGTGGCATGCCCGCAAAATCCGAGAAAACGCGCGCTGGTGGCATGTTGAGAGCCCTGGCAAAGATGGGATACGTGGGCAGGGAGGCTGAAACTCACTGAGCTTGTAGTCCAGCGGGATGGGTATTACGGCGCACAAAGCGCGCGTCTCAAACAATAGGCACGGCCGCGTGGCATGCCCGCAAAATCCGAGAAAACGCGCGCTGGTGGCATGTTGAGAGCCCTGGCAAAGATGGGATACGTGGGCAGGGAGGCTGAAACTCACTGAGCTTGTAGTCCAGCGGGATGGGTATTACGGCGCACCAAGCGCGCGTCTCAAACAATAGGCACGGCCGCGTGGCATGCCCGCAAAATCCGAGAAAACGCGCGCTGGTGGCATGTTGAGAGCCCTGGCAAAGATGGGATACGTGGGCAGGGAGGCTGAAACTCACTGAGCTTGTAGTCCAGCGGGATGGGTATTACGGCGCACAAAGCGCGCGTCTCAAACAATAGGCACGGCCGCGTGGCATGCCCGCAAAACCCGAGAAAACGCGCGCTGGTGGCATGTTGAGAGCCCTGGCAAAGATGGGATACGTGGGCAGGGAGGCTGAAACTCACTGAGCTTGTAGTCCAGCGGGATGGGTATTACGGCGCACAAAGCGCGCGTCTCAAACAATAGGCACGGCCGCGTGGCATGCCCGCAAAATCCGAGAAAACGCGCGCTGGTGGCATGTTGAGAGCCCTGGCAAAGATGGGATACGTGGGCAGGGAGGCTGAAACTCACTGAGCTTGTAGTCCAGCGGGATGGGTATTACGGCGCACAAAGCGCGCGTCTCAAACAATAGGCACGGCCGCGTGGCATGCCCGCAAAATCCGAGAAAACGCGCGCTGGTGGCATGTTGAGAGCCCTGGCAAAGATGGGATACGTGGGCAGGGAGGCTGAAACTCACTGAGCTTGTAGTCCAGCGGGATGGGTATTACGGCGCACAAAGCGCGCGTCTCAAACAATAGGCACGGCCGCGTGGCATGCCCGCAAAATCCGAGAAAACGCGCGCTGGTGGCATGTTGAGAGCCCTGGCAAAGATGGGATACGTGGGCAGGGAGGCTGAAACTCACTGAGCTTGTAGTCCAGCGGGATGGGTATTACGGCGCACAAAGCGCGCGTCTCAAACAATAGGCACGGCCGCGTGGCATGCCCGCAAAATCCGAGAAAACGCGCGCTGGTGGCATGTTGAGAGCCCTGGCAAAGATGGGATACGTGGGCAGGGAGGCTGAAACTCACTGAGCTTGTAGTCCAGCGGGATGGGTATTANGAAACAGAACAGACAAGACGGGCCATACGATAATACGGATAATAATGGGAAGAAACGCGTGAAGTGTAATGTATTATATTACTAAGCGTTGTTGCTGTTTAATGTCTGTTTAACTTGTAATTTCTACGGTTTTCTGTTTACAAGGTCTTCGCTTTCACACTGTGAAAACGAAGACAGGGGGTCTTAGTTTTCGTAGTGCGAAAACGAAGACCGGGGGTCTTAGGTCTTAGGTCTTGGTTTTCGAGGGTCTTCGTTTTCGTAACACCCCAAACCACCTATTATGTTCCGTTATTATTGCGGAGATTTTTACCTCGGTTACTAAACTTAAAATAAGAGACAGGCTGCATAATTGTAGAGATATCGAAAGACAAGAAATTTCATACAATAATAAAAAGTTTGAACCAAGGTAGACGGCGAGCTTACAAAGTAAGCTTACTTAGGAACATTTTAAACATTTTACAAACGAATGACTGTGTCTAAGATATTCACTCGGTCAACGTGAGTCATTCAGTTTTGGGTGTTGAAACTAATTTTCAGAACTTTTTAAACAGAGGGAGGAAAAAATTAAGCATTCATAATATTCTTGTCTTGCATCTGCCGATCTAAGCCCAATAAAATGCTACATAATACTTACCTTCGCCATTTTTTAGCTCCACTTCGTCCGCCATCTTGTTTACACTTGAGCCGAAGCTGACAATGTTCAGCGGAGCTTCTTTAGGCGACTTTTGATTGATACATAAATGACATAAGTTTTGAAAAGTTGTCAGTCAAAAGTAAGCAAAAATGGCGAAGCTGGGCGAATTGACAGAGGACGAAAAATCTTTGTTTTTACATCTCAACAAAGGTAAAGAAACTACCTGTTCCTTATCGGGGAAAGATTTCCGTACATACATACATATGGGGTCATGTTAAGAATTAAGCTAACATATATAATCTTATCAAAAAACATATATATAATTTTTAAATGTTGCATGGACAGTGATCAATAATATATAAAATTATGTTGTCTGTATCCTACAGCAGATGCAGATGTAAATTTAAACTTAAAGTCTTTAGGCCCCATACTAATCAAAAACAAAGCTGTAATCCCAAAGGTAATCTGTTGTTTTGCCTCTGCTATCTTTTTTCCAAGAATTGTGTGCATAATGAAGTATGGGGTTATACGGAAATCTTGCCCTTATCGAATTTTTACAAATCATTATTTCGCCTACTGATTATATATTTTGTCGCTTTTTGTAGGGGATTTTGAGGAGGCCTCAAGGCTCTTACGTTCAGGAAATGTGAGGATCGACTGCCTAGATGAGGTAAAATGAAAAAAAAAAATTTTTCAATAATAGGCTTATCGGTTCTCAGATCCTCAAACTGAAATCGAAACTACGATCAGCCTTAAATTTCTGAATTTAGGTGGGACATTACATGTGCTGTGGTGTATATCACCCATACAGTATTTAGCCAATTGTCTGTATTTGTTATGGAACAGATATTTTTATTTAAAATACATTGTATTCGTATCAGTCATATAGTTTTAGGTGGATGTGCTTAAAATGCCATCCAGACCAATTCTAAGTGAGCTGATTTACCCTTGGTTGTATTTCTTTTAATTTTCGTTGTTTTTGTTGTTGATAGTGTTGTTCTTTCTCAGTGTAACTGATTTCTGCATTTTGGCAGACCAATATGCTTTTGTTTTCACTCATTATGACTGTGTCTACCAATTTCTTAAGTTTTTTTTTTAGTTATTTCATTCCGTTTCTTTTCTTTGAATTTTTTCCAGCATGGCATGACCCCACTGATGTGTGCAGCATACAAAGGCAAAGCAGAAATGTGTGAGTTGCTGATAGCTCAAGGAGCAGATGTGAACTCTAACCACCATGAACAACAGGTAATTAAATCAAACTGCAATATTCTAAGTTATCTTCCTAAAATTTTTAATTGTAAATCTGCCTAAACTAACACTTTTTTTTATTAAACAGAATATGTTCTTGTTTTACACTTTTCCTTAGAGTGTAAAGCTGTAATTAGGTTCGTAAGAATTATAAATGAAGGGAAAACAGAATATAATGCAAAAAGTTGATGATATTGGTACATACTTGTATTTACACTGGCTGTTGCCCTTTTCTTGTTGTTTTGTCTGGGAACTTTTAACTTAACCCCTTAATTTCACTCCAAAGATATGAATGGTAATTCTCTTTACTGTGTACCATACAATCATTATAATGTTATTTTGGAGAATTTAGGATTGGATCAACTAATGTATTTGTGCACGATCCTCACAGTAAAGAGTACTATTTAAGCATTTAGTGAAAATCAGACCTGAAAAAATTCAGGCCTGTACGGGATCCGCAGTTTAGATATATGAATTTCATTTATTCGTAGTGTTTGATTTATCATCTTACGGGTTTATGTCGGACTTATTTGATGACCTGCTCCCAGTTGGCTTGTTAGCTCAATTGGTAGAGCACTGCACTAGTAACACAGAGGTCAGTGGTTTGAATCCTGTACAGGCCTGAATTTTTTTCAAGTCTGATCTTCACTTTTGTAAACAGTGCTATTTAATGCAAAGATCATGCACAGATACATTAATTTCTATAACTGCAGTTCAGATATATGAATTTCATATATTCACTGTGTTTGAACCATATTCATCTAATTGATATCATGCGTAATTGAAAATTTTTATATTGATAATTGTGCAATGTAAGTCAACAAATTACTTTTATTATTATTATTCTAATTATTATTATTATTATTATTATTATTATCATTCTTTCCCATCATTTATCTGCTTGATATTATATTGATATTGTAAGGAGAAATTTTGTCTTGGTCACTCATGGGAGTTTACTGTGTACAAACAGGTAGAGCAAACATTTTTCATTGGAAGTTTAGTCATTCAAGCAGATATGAAAGTCATCCAATTAGATATCATGTGCTGCTCAGTCTACGGTTGTTAAAAACCAAGTAGTTAGCATTAATCCAGGAGTATTTGTGTAACAAGTCCTTGATTTATTTTGAAGTAAAGACTAGTGTCTACTGGGGATTACTTATAGGTTAAATGAAACTAGAGGAAAAAATTTAAACAATATAAATAAAACTGTTAGCAATGCTATAAGACTAAATAAAAGATTGATGACTAACTCTCCCTTAGCTTATTATGCTTTGAACAACACAACCCAGATGGATCAATGTAAGTCCCTTGAACAAGAGGGGAGGGGAGAGATTTTAACTAAATAGATGCATTAATTAATCAAACAAGCTGCTCAAACCACTTATTAAGTGAATGCATATTTGTCGTGAATGGATGAGAAAGAGCCATCCATTCAGACATTAAGGAACTCATCAACTGGTGTATGTTTTATTGTGATGGGTCATATTTTAAGACCTGAGTTGGGGGTCCAACTAGAGCCTGACCCACTTCAAATACATCCTTATTGCTCTCTGGATCCCAAACAATTGAGCTAAGCAGGTAGAGGTTCTGATTACAAAACATATTTCTTACAAGGTGAAGTGAAGTTGCAATTATATAGTAAACAATGACATTGGCATAGTTAACCTGAGAGTTTTATTTTACATTTTCTTTTTCATGGCAGTACACAGCTCTCATGTTTGGTTGTCTATCAGGTATGTATCAGAAACATTTGTTCTCTTCAGAGTCAGTAGCTGAATAGAAGATACACCTAGCTTTAATTTAATTTTGTAGATGTATCGTTTACTGAGGAATTTACATGATTGACCTTATACTTTATAACTGTAGGGTCTGTAGAGGCTACAAGGGTATTACTTGAGGCTGGAGCCAGAGTGAATGCAGAGAACAGTCTCGGTAGGACTGCAGCTCAGTTGGGAGCTTTCATTGGTAAGAATTTAAAGATGATATCCTTTTGTGGAAATTAAGGTAAAGAGCAAGAGCGAAATGAGTGAATTTTGTTCATCTTTGTGCAGAATTTTATTTTTATTGGTGTCAGCCAATTTCGATGAATTTACCTGCAAGCAAATGCTGTGTAAAGTTCACTGGACCACAGCGGTGAATGAACAAACACAGCCATAAGAAACATTTGTATCAATGGATATTCGGTGCAGTTTAATCAACAGTTTTAACTGCAAATACAATGCCTGTTGAAATAAACAATGACCATTCCACATTGGAGAAAACTATCAGCTAGCTCACACATACTACTGTTAGACCCATTTTGTTCTTCTATTCAGATTAGTCTTGGTCTGTTCACAGACTAGTCCTTTACTAGTTTTTTTGTGTATATTTTGGTCCCCTTGTCTTTGAGCTGCACTGTAGTTTAAAGAGGCAACTTTTAATAGAGTGTCTCATGACAGTTTCCATTTTGCACAGTTATGTCCTGTGTACAGGAATGAAATTTCCTATTCAGGAGCTTAAAGTCAAGTATCTTTGCCTTTTTTTCATTTTCACCAAATTATTGATTATTTCATTTTAATCGTTACCTTCCAATTTGTTTTCCCCTACATAGGTCAAAGTGATTGTGTCAGTCTAATAAACAACTTTCTGTCAATGGAAGATTTGGAGTATTACACAAAGCCTCGAGGTTAAAATCTAGTTTTCAGTGCTATTTAATTTATTCATAAACAGAGTGAATCAGGTCTCTAAAGAGGCAGCTGTGTATTGTGTTTTTACCAGACATAGCAGTATAGAACTGATAACTTTTCTCACTAGAAGGTGGGTAACTAAGAGGAGAAAGTTGTTTCTAAGAAAAAAGAAGAACAATGGTTCCTTTTTTAAACACTTAAGTTAGATTTTATGAATGCATACAGCAGTTACTATTAAGATAAGAACAAAGGAGTCCTTTTAGTCAGGGGGGTCCCTTCATTCACAGACTCTGGAACTGAGACTCAAACACTTCCTGACTGAAATGAAAGAAATATTGGATTCATGAAAACTATGCATAATGATTACAAGTGTGGGTTGGGTGTGATTAACAATCAACTTTATGTTTAAGACCAGACACCATCTTCTTGACTGTGATATCAAATATATGTTAACTTTATAGCACAGTAAAATCGTGTATCAAATGATTTCCTAATAATCTATTGACAGGCCTGGAAAAGGAACCTAAGTTATCAGCAGCCTTGGTACCTGCACTCCACAAATTTGCTGTCAGTCAAAATTTATGCCCAGTGAAGGTAATCTTCCAGAGATCATGACAAATTTCATTGTTTTATGGGGTTACAATTATTTAACCAGTGTCAGGAAAAAAGTGACTATAAGTGTTTTTCTCAGTTTCACAAAGGGGTACACAAAGTGCTGATCTTTAATAGCACTACCTGAACTCAATTTTACTCAAATTTTGGTTCTTTGCCTGTCATTGCTTGCATACAACTTACATTTAAACTTCTCTTTTGCCCTTAGGGCATAGATTCACCCTGTCAATAAATGACACTCACAGCTGTATTTTCCTCATTCTTGACCACAGATTGCTATGTATCTGCAAGATAACTTTGAACTTGTAAAAAACTACAAGAGTTTAGTTAAAGTTATGGAGCTCTTAACTGAGTCAAATATTAAGTCAAAGGAGATGCAAGAAGTTCTGGCCATGAAGATGCACTATCTGGGATTTATGTTAAAAAAATGTGCGCGCTGGAATGAGGGACTGGAGGGAAAAGATAGAATTGATGGTTTCATTAAACAGTAAGTAAAAAGGGGATGTATTAGGAAATAGTACGGGAAATTTAAAGGAGATTGGGTTTACATTTACAGGTTAGAGGTACATGTACATATAGGGTGCACATTTAAGGCCACTCCATGAAGTATTTTGTTTCCCACTGGCAAGCAGGCAGAAGCATCCTTGGAAATTGTTCAGAGCCATCCTTATTTACTTTAAATATGCCCTGAACCATCCTTGCAGATTTTTAAGACTCTGCCGAAAATTCAATCCTCAGTTGATACGCTAATTGCATAAAAATGTTGAAATTTAAATGATTTTGAATAATTTTTATATGAAAATCATTTTTATTATGTGTGCTGCGGTTTCGTGAAGTGTGTGAAAGTGATCCTCGCAGTAATAAACCCTACTTATGTAGTAGCGGAAACGAGGCTTAAAAAAAATTCAGGGCCGTACAGGATTGAACCCATGACCTCAGCGATAGCGGTGCAGTGCTCTACAAACTGAGCTAACAAGCCAACAGGGAGCTGGTCATTATATTGGTTTGTATTAAACCCGTCAAAGTGATAAATCAATGAATATGAATATATGAAAGTTATATATGTGTACTGCAGTTTCTCGAAATGTATGAAAGCGATCCTCGCAGTAATAAACCCTACTTATGCAGTAGTGGAAATAAAAATGTTGAAATTTGTGGGGACGGAAAGGGAAAATTAAGAATGTCTTAAAAAAATATTAATTGTGTTACTATGAGAACCATACACATCACAGATTTGTTCTCAACATGCTGAGAAATAATTGGGCACTTTTAAATACTATTTAATATATAGAAAACAAGAAATAGTATGGGCAAATAATTAGTGCTTAAGAAACTTGGTGAGACTATTTTGAGCTCCTTCATTCTAGAAGTCAGTGGTAAATAGCTTACTTAGTTAAGGGTTGATTCCTCTCGGCTGTTTTTGTAAAGTTGATTGACCGTTGATTATTGTGTATTGGAAAACAAAAACTTTATTCTCGTGGCCTTGGTTTTTAAATTGTGCGAGTGATTGGCGCGGATGAAGTGAGCTCTTCGTCTGTCAACGGGAAGATGAAAATGTGATATATCATGGTTGTGCTGTATTCTTGTTTTTGACAGTTTAACAAAGGGACGCTCATCCGATGGCTTTTTCATTAATATGGAAGATATTATTCGGCAAGCAATCAAAGAGTTTGATTATCCAGAATGTACCATTTTTAAACAGCTAGTTCAAACGATAGCACCTGTAGAAAAGGTGAGTGACCTTGAATTAGTTGTTTTTTTCTTGCAGAAATGGACAGGAAAAAAAGGCGTGATGGCATATCGGGTCTGGTTGTGTTTTGGGAGTACTGGATTAATTGATACGATGTCTACGGTTAAAAAAAGACGGATAAAGTAGCTCAGACATGTGAGGAAAACGTTTCGTCTTGTCACGTGCGTAGCTCGTAGTTTGAGTTTTGCAGGGCATCGAGGCACTCTCTTTTTCTTTCTTTACTTCTTTTTTTATATAGGGACGTGATCCAACAGCTCTCGCCGTGATAACTCAGAGCATAAATGGCCTCCGCTGGTAAGGCATTTTTCCAATACAGTATTATTTTTCCGTCCTTTCTCTTTTTTATTTTATCAATAAAATTTACTGTACTGTGTAATTTTGAATCAAATTTCTCCTGGCCTGATGGCATTACACTTTTACTATTACTTAAAGTAAAACTGAAGCAAAGTATTGAATCTTTTCGCTCTTTTTTTCTTTCAGTGGTGACTTTAGTGACTGCTGTGGAATTTGTATCGAGAAACGGAATGTGAAGAAATGTTCAGCTTGTAAAATGGTAAAAGTGACTCGCTTCATCGTTTTCTCTTGGTAAACTTTTAATAATTCTGCTGCTTTTGCAGTTGTTTGCCCTTTCCTAGTTTACAAACTTTTGTTCTATTTCACTTTTTTGTGGGAACGAGACGCCAAATGTGCACTTTTTTCTTTCTAAAATTTAGAGTGGTGATACTTGATCTCACAGTTAAGTTTGCTCGCTATTTACGGAGCATTTGCTTAAAAGGTTTTTTTCTTACGTAGGACCTGCTCCATCTTTAATAGGTTGAAGTTATTTCTTTTGTACTGTATGTTCGATTCTTCAGATTAATTTCAATCTTAGAGATTCTTCAAATATGATCCGCTGTTTCTTTTAGGATAATTTTTGTGAACGGTTCCTTTCTTAGGTTGGGTACTGCAGCGTGAGATGCCAGAAGCTTCATTGGCAGACTCACAAGAAATTTTGCAAGCAGCTGGCCAAAGAATACGAAGAGCAACTTGCTGCGCAGTTGGCAGAGGAAAAGCTTGATGAAGAAATGAGCCGCAAAACTCAGCAAGAAAAACCGGGCCAGATGAATGGTGAAAAGGAACCTTTGATAAACGGGAAAAGCGACGAAGCTGTAAACAGCGATAAATCAAAAAGTGAAACGGATCAGAACACAAACAGCGGAATAAACGGTAACAAAGATGGCACAAATTCACCGGAGAGCTGACGTAGTGAAGGCGTGATAACGACAGAACTTGGAGAAACTGTGATGAATGTAAGCTAAAACGTGTAACCGAAGAATGTTTTCTTAACACTTTCCCAAGATCCAGTTCGGGATTCTCCCTTCTAACTGTTACAGATTTCTATGTAAAAAAGACAAGAGAATTTGGGGTTGTATTAAGATAACGCCCTTTAGCTGACAAACTCTTCTGTTCTCGGAACCTGTGTACAGAATTTTGTGCTGGAATCGCATGGAGATTACTACTTAAAGAAGTCACGTTATAAGATTTTGGGTCATGGCTGGAGTTACAAACTGAAAAACTGCATCAAAATAACACCAAGCTGCGATGAAGAAAAACCACTGAGGTAACGCTGAACACGAAAGGAACGAGAATACATAAGGATTAAAAGATTTATGCGGATTGCATTTGTAAATCTGGATCTTGAAAAAGTGCGTGCTAAATTTTCAAGATTTAGAAACACTGTCATAACTTCTTTAACGACATGTTTTCAAGTTCTAGTTGAAGTTTGTGCACGTCTCAGAGTTTTTGTCCCCATTAGTCCGTTTTTCTTCAAAATATCTTTCATACGACTGTATAACACTTTTCACGAAGATTGTGACCTCTAAGCGTACACTGTGGTTATTAAAAAGAATAGAAAAGCTGTGTGATTTACGTCAGTTCAAACTAATGGGTTCATCCCTGTCTTTCACCGGGCTGTCGAATACGTAAACGAAAAGGGTCATTTTTTTAACGAACTGTTTTACTCTAATGACCATTTAGGAGAACGTTCGTTTACGTTTGTTGAAATTTACATTTTCATGTGGCTGATGGCCAAAAAAAAAAATATAGTGAATAATAATTGGGCTTAGACGAAAAAGTAAAGGTATGGGTTTGGAAAAAATCCAAAACAGTTAAAACTTCATATTGTTTGAAAAGCTTTCTGCCATGCAATCTTTTAGCATCTTTGGAACTCTTCTCAGTTGAATTTTCTTTTATCGCGTTTATCACTTCCTCGAAAACATTGAGAAAAAGCGAGGCAGCCATTTTGGAACTAAGCGCTCCTGCTATAGTCGCCTCACGCGAGTTGATTATATCGAGATATGACAATCCTCGACCAATTAGAGCGTGCGCATCTCTTTAATCGCCTCTAATGATAGAAGGACTGAGTGGAGTCCAAATTCGGTCTGTACTGTAATCATACTTGTGATTAACAAATTTGGACGATTGCGAAGCAGAAGTGCGATTTGTTCATCACGAGTATGATTATAGACTGAATTGCACACCACGAAGTTCTGTTACCAAATGATCAAAACTATGACAACATTTGAGAAAGAAGCTAGACATCGGTTTCACGTTTTCGAAATGCGTGATAAGAGCGCGGGCACATTGACGGGTTCTGTCCACTTACACAGGCATGACGTGTGCATTGTCCCTTTAACTGTCCTATCACACTGTCCAATTACAAACATGGCGCATACACCGCCCTCTTAGTGCTCAAATCGGGCTGGCAATAACTAATCGCCTTCGAGAATTTTGTTATAGTATTGATTATACTAATTATTACAATTATTGTGATGGGAATATCACTAAGTCTTATGAACGCTCTTATTTATCTTGACACAACCAAAATCATCCAAGGTCCCCGACCTTGCCTTCTCAAGCCGGAAAGCGTGGTGATACATAATGACCGGTCCCTCAAGGCTTACTTTTCCCAAATAATTTCAATATATCAACAAAGTTGAAATGGTAAATTGGCCACCGTCACGATTACAAAAGCTGACGTGTCGAGCATTTTTGTTAGACTTACTGATTTCAAGGTTATTTTTCCCAGGTTTGTTGTTTTTTTCAAATAATTTCTCAGTTTGATGTCATCGAATGGAACTGAAAGGTCTTCCGCCAAAACCGATACTGAAAAATGCTGACCTTACCACAAACGAAAACGTGGCTAAGCGATACTTTTACACGTGTTGCACTTGATCAATTATCATCAATAAGGGGTATACCGAGTTTCCAACAGAATCCTTACACATTTCTTGTTAATGTTGATTGATGGACCACTTTTAGGCTGAATTTCATTTTGCAATTGACAGCTGTTGCCAGACTGACCAATCAAATTATTTGACCAGTCTAAAAAGTATTGTGAAAGACTTATTTCAGCGTGCTTTTTGTGAACACAAGATACCTGTTGACACCGTTTGCGTTCTGATAAAGGGGAACTGAAGCCTAAAAATGAAACATTTTAAATTGCAGCTTATAGTTCAAATAGCGATGTTCGAGGGTTTTTTTCAGTCTTTGGTCTCAACTTCGCCTCGGAAAAATAGTTTAAAGTGGTATTTTGGCCTCGTAGTACGGCGGCTTAGAAAAGCGATGTCAGTGGTCATTTTAGCTCGCTCCTACGTAACTAGTGGGGAAGAAGATAATAAACTCGTACTCTTCCTACAGAAATTTGGTTTGGTTATGGAGTAATCGATGTTGCGTGACTTGTAATGGGGATTAACTACGAAAATGAAATAGTAACAGTTGTTTTTCTTAAGTTGGTTCCCCACCACTGACGTTATAAACGACCGCTGCTGATCTATTTTGAGCCGACGGTCTGACAGCCCCAAAAGCGGGAAAAAGGCAACTTCGAATCGAATTTTCTCGTAAAAAAACAAGAAGTGAACGAAAATGAATATCGACACTTTATCTTACTCCTCTAAAGGTAACTAGAAATGAATGCAAACAATATACCCATTTTAGGCTTCAGTTCCCCTTTGTAAAAGAAAGATTCATTTTTTGTTTTCCTTGGTCCTGCTTGCTCTATTACCGTTCCTGTTTAAATCCTAGCCTGAGTTTGACGTTCTCTAGATTCTGAATATTCTTACGACCTGAACATTATAGCGCTTTTTTCGATTAAAATCAGGTAACACCAGCATCAATAGAAGACCTTTCCTTGTTGGCATCTTCAGTCGCTCATGTGCTTTGACCCCAGCGTTCGAATATTTTATTGTTGTCTAAAGTAATAGTAATAGTAATAGTAATCAAAGTTTAATGTCTTTACGAGGGGCATGGTTACCCATCTTGCCCGAGCCAGAGGCTCATGTCTGAAGCGTATATGTTATTTTACTTATGCGTAACTTGCAACAAAAAATTAATTTATTGAGACATTTAAACCAAAAAAAATAAAAAATTTCAGCCATTTACATAGCAAATAAATGAGCTTAAGAGAAAACTCCCTATTGTGGACGTACTTGATCTCAACTCGTAAATGACCATTTCAAAAATGGTCATTAAATCATCTGTAAATCTTCAATCGATTATCATCAAAGTATGGAACTCATTTCACTTTGTTGTTTTGTTTGTAACTAGTGATTAATCTACCTGTCACCAACCAAATAATTATGTTTTATACAAACTCAGTTAAAAATTCCTTTTAAATGTTACTGCTGCCACTCTTAAGCAGACTGGACACTGCTTGTTTTTCACAGAATTTAGAGTTAATCGAATAAAACTTTTTAACCCGAGTAAACTGCACGCGCTTGTCAGTTCATATTGTTCGCGAAAATGAAGATGAGGATCTATACAAGGCTGAAGCTTGGTAGTAATGAAAAGAAGCAAACAGAAATTACCTCTTAAATCTCATAAATTGTCAGAGCTCAACAATAGTTGGTTAAAAGGAAAAAAAAGAAGATAGAGCATGTAAACCGTCCCGTTACTTGGAAATCTAACGGACCAAATGCTACCGTTGGTAATATCAAAAAATATGATGGCTAAATGTATATGGTTAAATGAGGTATATTAAATTGTCTTTGCTCGGTTCAATACGTGTGCCTGATTGTTTCTGTTTTACTATCTATTTCTGATATACAATTGATGATTTACCGCGTTAAAGATCCATTCAGCTCAAACTCCAATGCAAAAACGATAGCCTTGAGTATGCAGTTTTGAATGCCTTCTAATTTGTTTTAAAGGAGTTTTGGTTTCCATTTTGTTCACTATAGGCATGGACAAAACATCAATTAAAATCGTTTGTTCAAAACTCTCACAAAAGTTCGTTCAGCCCGAGTGCCCGCTCTCAAAAATCAACAAATGGTAAACACCACAGCGTACACTATTGAGCTATGGATACACGCGGGAGGTTGTTAAGCATCCCTGAAAGAAGCGTAAGACTCTAGCTTCTTCAGTGCTTAGCAAACCTCCCAACTGCATCCATAACTCAATAGTGTACGCTGTGGTGTTTACCATTTGTTTTAAAGCATAACATTGATACATTGTAGCTAAAGAGTTCCCTTTTGTTTAACAAATCTTGCGTGACCAGAAAAATAAAAAAAATAGAAAAATAGTCTTTGCATTTGCTCACATCAGCAGCGTACACCCATGGGCAAATGGGGACGCTAAATTAACCAATCAGAGCGCGCGCTTTGCTTTTGTTATGTTATAACACCTTTTCGTCTTCTTCTATAACTGCAGTAACTCGGTTCGTTGCAAACCTCTTGTCTACCAAATCGACGGCCCCTGAGTGCATTTGCGGGCAGGCAAACCATTGGTACGTGTACTATGGGCCACTGTATTGACGGAATAGTGCCGTTGTACTGGGCTCCTGTGTCCCTACGCTGCATCTGGAGCTTTCCTCTAAAAGTACCCCCATGCCCGCTTCGTGCTGAGCATTTGAACCTTTTTCGCGACACGGGGGGAATTCCAAAGTTTATTTCTGTACATTGAGTTTAGAGGTGTGTAGTTCCTCCTTCTTTTCTTGCGTTTTCTGCCGCCGCTGGAACTGAACGAAAACTACCATTTCGTTTCTTGTTTGGTCTTGATTGTTCTCTTTCTGTCGTCGTTCTTGTTTGGCTCTCTTCAACTTCGCAACACGCTCTCGAACTAAACAACACAGCTCGCTTCTTCTGATAAAAGTCACTTAGCTCCAGCAGTAGTGGAGGATCTTTGCTCGCTCGCATATAATTAATCGCTACCTTATTTGACCTTGACGTTAGATTTGAAGATAAAAAGTTCGATTAACTTGCCCCTCTCTCTCTCTCTCTCTCTCTCTCTCTCTCTNNNTATCCTTGGGTTTCACCCACGTGACCAATACCTTAGCAACGGTTACTATCCGCCATCTTGGTGTCCCTCGAGCGTAAACAAACCGTATCTAACGAAGAGTTCATGTGAGAAAGAAGGGATGGTTTTATGCATTATTGTTGGCTGTTCGAGCAAAAGTGGAAAGCATAAAGACTAAGGATTTTTTCGTATAATAATTTAATAATTTTATTATTTCTATAGCGCAAAATTCATTATATATATGATCTAATGCGCTATACCTAAGATCATCACAAATCAAGGGGAAGAACAGGAGGAACTAGAAGTTGTTGTATTGTTCGAGGCTTGCGGCTGTTGTAGATCCTCGATTTTTTGGTCGAGCTTTTCTTTGAGCTTCTTAGCCGATGAGAAATCGATGTCTTTAGCCCTCGCATACGGCACTTCATTGACCTATGTCGGCAAAATCCATGAGCATTTTACCTGAGTGCAAGTAAGCTTGGGGTGTCACGAAAACTCACACCCCGAAAACTCAGACTCCTCGAAAATTCAAGAGATAAACTCGACTCATGATCACTCCTGGTAATCCCTCGTGTATTTTGACCTTTTGGGTCTTCATCCAACTGAAGCAGCAAAAGCAAGGCCGCAAGTTGCACGTTTCGCAAAATCGTCCGATGGTTGAGTATTAAAACATTTTAGAGTGACACAAGACTTCATTTAGCTTAGATTTCCTCCATTTTTCCCGTTAATTTTGAACTTTTCATTCACAGTTAACGGGATCAAATGCGCTCGCTCCAACACCAAAGTATTAAAATGTGGCGTGATTTTGACGAGCCGAAAGGGACGTTTGTTTACCTTTTTGTACTTCGTCGCACAGATCCTTGTTGTCGCTCTGTTAAAATTCTTAAATATTTCGCGATAATAATGGATACAAACAGAGACTCGGCCCACCAGTCCCAAAACGAAGACAATTTTGCGACCCTTGGGCTAGAGTTCTTAAATGAGGCAGAAAGAGAAAAACAACGCGAAAGAAGACTCGGCATCAGCGCCGTCACGATTCGCCTCACTGAAGAATCACTCTTGATATTGTTGTTCGTCTTTCGCGTCGGATTTGTTGCATTATTCCACCGGTTATATTATAAAAAAATTGGTTCATGCTTTATGCTATGCACTATCGAATTATGGAGCACTTCGGAAGCTTGGAGAACACTTCGAGGGACCTGAGTTTTCGGTGTCTGAGTTTTCGTGACACCCAGCGACCTTGCCATGAATTCTAGTAGTTGCCTCTAACATAAATAAAACACTCGCGATATGTGAGCATGACTCAGCCAGTCCAGCTTTGCATCCCAAGCAATGGGCTGACAAAATAGTCCCATCGTTTTCGGAAATGACCCAAATGTTCACTAAAGGATCATTCATATGCTGTGAATGCCAAACTCGTGCTCTCACGGCATACTTGCCGGCGATTACTTTGCCTACAACTGAGGTTACAAATCCCGACACCATTTGATTAAACGCCTCTAGACTCTTGAACGCCTTGAACTGCTTCTTGGTGTAGAAGCTGGTCTCAAGAACGAGGTAACTCAGCAAGTCCGACGCTTCCACAGGAGGCAAGCATTTTGGACTGAACTTCTCGGCTGGTATGCTTGCAGGGTCAACCCCAATGACCGAGATCTTTTGCAAACATCTTTCCTTCCAACTCTCTAAGCTTTCGGCATACTCAGAGAGCACTGGGATACCTTAAGATGAATGCCAGATACTTTTATCGCTTTTTTCTTCCCGGATATTCATGTAGTTGGGGAAATAATACGGCGATAAGAGAGAGGGCTTCACTATAGAAATCGACTAATTATTCATAAATTTGACACCCGAGGGACACCAACATGGCGGACACTTCAGCAAAGCTTGTGACGTCACCTGAAACCCAACCATTATTTCTTTAACGTGATCACTTGATGAGCAACCTACACTGGTGGGATATTTTGGGTCCTGCACTCATTTCTCCCGCTTAAAAGTCTGTATTCAATCGCTGAGTGACTTTGCCAATACTAGTTCTCGAAAGAGCACTGGGTTTGGCTAACCCCGTGCCAGATCCCACAAAGGGAGTGGGGGGCAACTTATAAGCGCATCCTTCATCGTTGTTGTAGGGTGAGATGCAAAGTCACTTAAAGCGTTCAAATTTTTGAAAAAAATGTATGTTTGCAAACCTTTTTCAGTTCGTGCCATGATGAGCCAAAAAGATCATGTAACAACGACCTTTCAATTACATTTCGCGGAAAAACGTCCTGTTGATGACATTTTCATCTTTCAACGATTTTTAGTGGAAAAAAGTGACAGTTTTACGCCGTTTTCCCCTGAAGTAAACATTAAAGTTGAAGAAAAGTAGACCGTCCTCAGAGTCAATAGGCAAATTTGTCTGGGTGACAAGTATTCTTCAGCATATCCATTCTTCATTTTCAGGTCTATCTCGATGGAAATCAGTGGAACGGAAAGTATTAGAAAACACGTAGCAACTTAGTACAGACCTCAATAAGAACTTAATAACTCACTTGGCTTTGAATTCCTTTTCCTACTAATTGTAACAGAATACGGAGCGTTAGAAGCTTTCTTGAACGTTTCGTACGTTTCAGGATATCTTCGTTTTTACTGCTTTTAAGACCAAAGGTTGCTGTGCCTTGCGCCTTCACAGCTAAGAAAATCAGAGCAAATTTTTCTTTTTTTCGTATAACACGTTTTCCTGAAGTCAATGAGCTTTTTATGTAGTGCTATTTTGTTTTTTACGGATTCAAAGCGGAAAATTGGGTTTCGAGATAAAACAACGATTTACCTCCTCACCATTACCAGAAATCGGAGTCATTTTGTTCACACGATACTTTCTGAATGCGGTGTACTCTTAGTTGAAAGGAGCATGCCCGGAGGTGTCGGATTACGTGAAAGAATATGGTAAGAGCGGTTCGAAGCAAAGAATGCGTAAATTATGTTGCTCTGAATAATCTTTCTTCAGCGGATTTTGAACCTTTTTCTACATGCAAAAGAAATTATAAACCCGGGGCGAAATTATATCAAGTGGAGAGACTTGTCAGCAAGCGGAAATCGTCGAGTAAGGAGGTATGAATTAATTTATATGAAGCTCATCTGCAAGTAATTCAATGTGTTTACTATTAAACAGAGCTATATATATTGAGTTGTAGCTCACTTGCAAGGATCATTTCTCTGACTTCTATATTATCTCCACGTCTAAATACTATGCATATCATTTAATTGCGTTTACCTGCCCATATCTCGTCCTTAATCGCTATCATCATGAGGTACACTCCCATAAGGAAATCAGCCACAGCCAGATTGGTCAGAAGGCAGGTTTGAACTGGATGGTCGTCACGCCTGATGAGACGCCATGCTACCAGGGCCAGGTTACCAAGGACAGCTAGGATACCTAGCAGCCAGATACTCCTCCTTGGGCCAACAGCATCTATCATGCGATTACAGCTCGACAAGGCGTTACCTTCCAGCTTGGGGTACTCACAATTTACTTCTTCAAGGTGGAGAGAAGCGTAACAACACAAGGAGAAACTGTCTAGTTTTCTTGAACGAGATGGAAACCCAGAAAATTTGTTTTAATAATATGACCACAGCATCACTGAACAATGTTATGGTTTTTAACGTCGCTCAACCCATCAAAGTACATGTAATTTTTCGACAAAAGCTAACTAGGTCCCAATCTATAACCTAGATGCCACTGATTCAACAAGGACACCATGCTTATGACTTCAAATTATTCGATTTGATTTTCAAATTTTCGCAAAACCGTTGATGTGCAGAGAATCTGAAGTTAAATTGGACAACATAAGAGAGGTTTTGGTCATTTCCTCTCTAAATGCATAAAAGCAAGAAAGCAATAAATTCAGTTCCATTTCATACTTACAAGTATCGTAGACTTTTAAGATAGCTGAACGTTTCTGGAGGCATACGATCAAGAAAATTGTTTTGCAGATGTCTAGAATTAAGATTTATTGGAATATAAAGGTTTGGGAAGAATGCTTTAAATGGGCTTTCTTTGACTAACACTGCAAAGTGTTTAAGTGAGTGGGTTCAAATTTAGAGAATGAATCACTCACGAAAGCGCTTGTTTTGAAATTGTCCTTCTATGCATATTTTAAAATCAGATGTTTTATCTATCTATGGTTAATCTTGCATAATCTTACGCATCCTACGTCAACAGGAGATTTGAAACGGAGGCATTTTGATTTTTTTGTCTAAGGAAAAAATTCACTTGTTCCTTTTAATCTTTGTTGTTGTCATTTGTAAGACAAAGCACCATGTTCAATACCTCTTTAAGTGCAATTCTCAGATTTTCTTTTAACTAAACTGGCACGTAATTTCTTCTGTTAACTTGGAAAATCATGCATAACGCTGATTTTTTTTTCTCTTTTGATAACTTATTTCGCTGTGAATATGTTACATTATTTGGCATGGTTGCGATCAAGATTGGAGTATCAGCAATCCGTTTTTGTATAATACTCACAATTTTTCCAGATTTCGAAGTCCATGGAAAGCAAGCGGATGAATTTTTTCAATCCTGTTGTTCTCCAGATACCTAACAAAATTGTCAAAGCTTGTAAGTAAATTGAACACAAGTAAATCGTAATTTTATAGGAAAATTCATTACCTGACGAGGGAATTCCGCGTTAAATTGCACGCGAAAACCGACATCGCACGAATCACGAAGCGATATCGGTTTTCAAGTGCAATTTAACGCGGAATTCGCGAGTCAGGTAATGAATTTTCCTTGAATCGCATAACTGAATGAAAATAAGAAATTAAATCGGCAATATTATTGTTTTTTTTATCCCGAGCGCGCGCTCTAGAAAGGCATTTTAAAGCCAACTGTCAGAAGTGTCATTATGTTAGCGAATAGAAAGCAAGTCGTACACTTTTAACCTTCGACAATTTTATTTGCACCTCGTGCTTGATTTTACATTAATTTTCGAACTTTTTAAACGAGCTTCACACTATTTAAGGATAATAGTGGTATTTAACTGAATTTACAAGCCGTTTATCGTTTACATCTTTTTTCAAAATTTCAAATAATTTGCTCGAGAAGGAAAGTAATTTACACCTTTTACCTCTTTGGTGGCAAACTGAGAGAAATGAAGTGTGCAAGCGAAAGCACTGATTTCAAGTGCAATAACTTCGCGGTTAATATAGGGTAAGTGCCTTGAAGTGTAAATACGTGTATTGATTGATACTTTATTCCTTTAATAACAAAGAAGTGTTTCATGAAAAGTCCAAAAACTTTAATCTTTTTATTTGTAGAAATTCACTACAGGCGACTGCCATTAGCTGAATCGTTGGGATGAGCATTCGACCGAAAGTTGATGGAGATATTCACTGGAGAGTTGTTGAACGATACATTGGTAAAACAATCCACCTAGAACTCTTACTGCTAGAACATCGATGCCGTTATTCATTGGTGTTGTGTTGTTGCCAACTACTGATGGAAGTGCAGGGCTGTTGACATAAATTTCTCGCAAAGCTTTAGTGCGTGGACCGTCGCTTGCGTTGGCAGCTGTGACAGTCGTAGTGGTACGACTGAAAACCCAGCCAACTTGCTTGACATCCTTTTTTGTTTTTCTAAAATATTATGGCTGCAGATGGATATTGAATCCGGGTTCGCGTGACGTGTTAGCTCGGAGATTGGTTTTTCTGGGCCGTGTTCACAGGATATTCTCGCTTTCGGGTTGTCGCGAGCGAAAGAGGTTTTTCATGCTTCTCCAAGAATTTGAAGTTCAGTTCAAAACAAGGAAGAACCTCAGGCTCACTTTGAAAACGCTTTGTTTGTTTTTGCTCTTTAGAAGGTGAAAATGGTTTTGAAAACATTCTAAATTGACTTAGAAACCAAACTTTGTAACAATTTGACGATGGTTGTTGTGCTTAGTGACGTATATGCGAAACAATTTCGCTTAGCCTCGTTTTCAACTCGCAATTCCGCGCTGAATACCTCGCTTCGTTAACCAATCAGAATGCGAGATTTTACTCAATGATGCGATTCTATGATGAAATAAAAAAAACAAGAGTTAGTTTTTCAAGCCACGTATGAATCAACACTCACAAAGTTTTCAAACTTTTCAATTTGCTGAAGATGTAGGCAGGTATCTCTTCAATTTCGTTGTGAGAAAGAATACTACAAAAAAAAAATAATGATTGACACTTATCAAAATGCAATGATATCTTGATAACAACAATAATAATAATAATAATAATAATAATAATAACAATAACGATAACGATAACAGCGACGGTAACGATAACGATAACAATTATGATAATGTAACGATAACGTTAACAATAATGATAACGTTAACAATAATGATAACGTTAACAATAATGATAACGTTAACAATAATGATAACGTTAATGATGATGAAATGATGATGAAAATGATGAAAATGATCAGGATGATGATACTAATAACCTTTGATCGAGTTGTCTAATCGTTCGTGAAAGATTGTTCCTAAAAAGTATTATTATTGTTAACAGTGACTGTCGTTTTGATAAAATTAAAGTTGCTTAGGGTGTCGAAATGTCAGTCACCTTTACACAAATGATCAGAACACACACTCAAGTGTTACTCTCGGTTTCAAACCAATTACTGCAGTAATAATTATAATAATAGTAATAATATTTGTTATAATAATTTTGATAATAAGTATTAAAATAAAGTTAATGATAATAAAAATGAGCTATATACAGAAAAGTACAAACCAAACGCTTTCGACACTAGGTCATCATCAGTGTAGAATAGTACATTAAGAATGACAATAGTATCGTGTCAAAATAAAAAAATGAGGAGATATATATATTTTGCACCTTTTTGCGGACGATGAGATTAATTAGATTAATGACAGAATGAAAATCATGTTATTTGCTAAAAATCACTCCTGGCAGAGCCAATTAACAATTCCCACAATTCAGTGGGGGAAATGAACCCAGTAGGACCCAACGACAAATCTAATTCAGTGGCAAGACGAAAGACTCAAACCTACAATCCAAATTCAATTTGAAAGCCCTGACCTCTCTGCTGTGCCGATCTTCGATAGACACTAAAAACAGGCAGAGTGAAGAGGTTTGAAAAACGCTCTTACCAGCCAATTATCCCAGAATGTGGGTAAGAAAATGTTTTGAAACTGATTTTTTGCCGGAGCGAAACTAAGGTTCCACTAAGCAGTAATTAGTGTTATTGAAAGATTACAGAACCAAGCAAACCCTTTCCCCTTCTATAGACTTTATATTGATAATAGTTTTGTTAAAAAAATGTTTACGTGATGCGATGATGCGATACACTACATTGTGAAAGTAGGTCTTGGAGTCTCTTTGTCGTTTAACAGGAATTTATTAACGTCAACCATTAAAGTCCACTTACAGCTTTTCTAAGCTTTGCAACCCGTCGAATATGGATTTAGACAGCACAGAGATTTTGTTGTATGAGATATCTCTGAAAAGAAGAAACAGTCTAATTCAAAATATTATCTTTGTTTAAGAGCACCTTCCATGATGGTTATCAAATGCAAAACCTTATAACTGAACGGTAATTTGAGTCAGGCTCGAGAAAACTGACATTTTTGCCAAGACCCTCTCAAGTCTTGTTTACTTAATTTCTGTTCTAAATCATTAACTTTTGAGGTGTTACCGTATTATCAAACAACAGAGAAATACCCCGTAAAACTATCATAAAACCAGTTTATTCATTTAAGCATCCTATCAGTATGGTTTGTACTTCAAGGAAGCAACTCATAAACAAGTCAGTCTACTGAAAACGAACTAATTGCTGATAGAAGTTAGAAGCGTCCTGCTCCCTGATCATAGGTATATATGGTCGCTGGAATATTTGAATATTTTCACTAACGTACATGAAACATATAAATAAAGGCTGATAGTTTTTAAAGAAACTGTTTGGGGCTGCGTCGGTGGGGGTAACGAAATAATTTGGATATATCAACAAAATTGAAATGGTAAATTGGCCAACGTAACGATTACAAAAGCTGACATTTCGAGCGTTAGCCCTTCGTCGGAGCGAATTGAGGAATTGTGGGTTGCGTGTGCTTTTAAATACAGAAAATGGAGCTACGTTATTGGTGGGAACATGGCAACGAGAAAACCACGAATAAATTAGTGGAATGAAAAGCGTTCGGTGATCCGTGTGGGATTTAGACTGCTAGTGGTCTGGCATATATAATTCATATTGTGTACGTTTCTTGGATAAACATAGCAATGTACAGAACAGGAAATTGCCTTTGGGTCTGCGTTTTGTTTAATTAACACCTTCATGATGTATAGAACTCTGTCTGATAACGATGCAGGTGAGACTTCGCACAAAATCACACGCAAATTAAACCGGTACCATAGCAGAAATGGGATAAACCTGTACTTTGGTGCATAGTCA